TTCGCTGTCTGTTCGAATGTCCGTAGTTCTATAGACTACATTTATCGAAAATATGAGAATGATTTATCTTTCTTAATTTCACCGTTTTCTGTGTGCAATATAACCTACACTTTTTATACACCGTCTTCGAGTATGCATAGTCTCGCTCTCCTAATCGCTCTCATACGATTTTTATTACTCAGAATCGAATGCCAGCGAAATACCTCCACACAATATCAGATTATTACTCCAAGCCATCTTAAATTTTTTAACTCGTCGCCATAGAAACCCAACAACTAGCATGGCTCCTCTTAAAGAATAAATTACATTCTTTACAAATTAACTGTATTAAACTATCTGTATCGTGACATAAACATTTTATTTTCATTATTCTGACATATTTCGGTCCATTAAGAGGTCTTCATAATCTTAGCGTAACATTCAAGGTTAACACAAAATCTTTCAACACCTTTCTACCTTAAGGGATACGTCTAAAGTAAGGGCGATGAAGGGAGATGGCTGTCTTCAGGGTTGTTGCGCCGTGTAGTCTTGTAGGAGTTTACCGATCGCCCTGATAATGGAGGCAGCAAGGACCTCTGAAACGTCGATAAACTTCTTCCAGACTACATGACGCTAGAACCCAGAAGACTGCCATCTTCAAACTCACCGCCATGAAAACCTCAAATCCTACAAGAAGAGTCTTGTTTGGTGGCCAGGCATTTATCTGAATCGTCCCTCAATTTTGTCGCAGATTGAGACCGTCCGGTGCCAGCTTGTCTTCGGGTGCGTGAATATTTCCTGCTCTTTGATCTCACACAGTTTTAGATCCCCCCTTCCAACCTTCTTCACCTGTTAATCGGTGTTTGCCGAGTACAGACTTTGTTTCTATGTTGGAGTTTTATTGTCAATGTTAAAACATCAGTAGCGCTCCCTGCAGTGAAGGTCAGATAATCGCTCAGTAACAGGAACAGAAAAGATAAAACAAATATTCATATCGGGATTGGAATTTAGATACACAATTGATTAAACATCCTTTTTTCCAAAGGACTTGAACAGTTATTAGAATTAGTTTCGTTATAGCCTTGCGGCTCGCGTACGGTTACCCCGAGATCGGCTGACCAGTACACAGACCATCGCTCCAATATAAGGCGGGATTGGCTTCCTTTTCCGGTGGGCTCGGTGTCGTATATTTCAAAGGATCTGTTTGTCACCGTTGTTATTTTGCTGTCGTGAAAAGATTCCAAAGCGTCGTTTTGGTTCTTTGTGTCGATCACATCTCTCTTTAGGCCACGTTTTCGGTGCATGAAGGCAAAGTGTGTGTTGCTGGGTAGTATCGATCTTCCTCATATACTCTTCCTTTATCAATTTGTAATTTGTCAGTTGCAAAAGCTTCCGTACGTTTGTTTGCGTGGGTCTTTATGATTTATATTGTTTAAAGCTACATTAATTTGCCAATTGTGACGATTCTGGATGGAAGAAATATTTTATTTATAAACCAGAGGAACGTTTGGTCTTTTCCCACTTTTTTCTTTCTTAAAATAAACTGTGTGCCATAATGAAGTTGTTTATTTATTATGACAGCCTTATGAATATATATTTCCGCTGACCAGAGTGGATTTTTTCCCGCCGAGGCACCGCGTAAGGCCGTTGTTTTAATTAAACGGCTGGCAAGCGACGAACTAGATGTGGACTTTACATGGCTTGCTTTTGCAGTCTAAAAAATCCGTTATGATTGGCTGTAAACCAGAAAGAATAGCGGAGAGCCTGAGGAAAAAGTATTTGACACTGAACCAGAGGGATATATACACGTTAGAAGATAATTCGGCTGGATAAAACCACACCCAGTAGCGTCATTTGAAACGCGGACACTGACGTCAGAGGTCCTGTTAAGTAGCTCATATTACAAACCCGCACTGGCATGCGATTTGAAAATACCTTACGATAAATTTCTCAGCATCGAAACGCTGTCTATGCAGGCGATAGAATCATATAACGATGATTTTTATATGCTGACAGTTATTTCGTGTACCAATAAATATTTCTTTCGACATTAACCTTTTAACAGTATCAATAAATTATATGTAGTTCACATTCGTTAATATCTTGGCGTCTCTGCTTGGCGTACTCCACTCCTTATCAGCTTTCCATGATACGTAGCTCATTCAAAAGCCCATGAAATATTTGCAGTCATGAACACTATCCAATATCGGAATTCGATATGCCACAGAACGCGTAAAACGTAAATATGATGGAAGTGGGAATATTCTTGACACGTTCTGAACGCAGTAGGTTTTGAATCAACTTTTGTTAGCTGTGGTCTGAAATACCGAACTTTACTGACGATAAGCTAAATTAGTTTGTACGTTTAATACAGTGGCTTCCGGTGTATGGCAACCTAAAACAAACCTTTCTGGAGCTTTGCGCTGACATTTTAAGCACATAGTTCGTGGTACATATTAATTTTCAGCGATACCATATTAGTAATTTTAATACACAGAAGATATTTAATAAAATCTATACACAAGTTGGAAATATCACATCACACAAAATGTTCTCCATACTATGAATTGATGAAAGGAAAAATCCAATGAGCTCTTTTACGCTACTAGACTTTCCCTTGAAACACATTAGGACAGCTTGTGATGACAATTTTTAACACATATTAGAATGTTTCTAGAAGTAGATACACGCGGGGCGAATTTGCTCTTATGTGAAACATACCGATATCTAAAGTAGATTGTTATGGAAAGGTCATTTTATGTTTTATTATTGCTTTTAACGCAGGTAAATTTATAGTCTTTATTCAAATATTTTAAGAGTCAAAATTCCTTAGTCTTCAGAATGCAACATTCTCTAAATACCAGCGCTTAATTTCGTGAAATGATTCTCTTGATTCAACTTTCAGATCTGGAATACAATGTGTTATAATTAAAATATACCTGACAGTTTAACGGTAAGAAGATTCATAAGCATGTCTGACAGTTTTGGAATAAGCCGTCTCCAACTCTTGAAATGTAGCACCAATAACTTTTTAAACGTTTTGAATTGTATAAACAATAATACATCGTTCTTATTTAAAATGAGTTTGTTTATCACCTCCTTCAGTATGTAAATTTTTACTTTCTCAGAATTAGGTCGGTATCAAAATTTGATGTCCATTCTCTGAAATACTAATCGTGATGTCAATGAAGTGTATTATTGATGGGAATGGCTACCGTATTGGTTTGTGAATATTAAATTAAATATTGTATAAATTAAATAAATAATTTAATTTACACAATTGTAATATTAATTAACGTGTGTAATTAAAATAAACCTTTTGGACATAAAATTGTCTAAACATTTAATAATTAAAATTTATTTAAACTGAAGAACGCTAACTATACAGAAGGATTGAGCTAATGACAGAAATTAAATATCAATTATTTATCATTCTTTTATTTAGAGGAATCACTTGTTTTATTTTCTTGCAGACCAATACCTATAAAGTGTGATCCTATAGTATTTTAATTTTAAATCTGCAGAATCGAATTAAAACTGTATGTTATATCACACCTTACACACAGCGGCGTCTTTATGTTCCTGGTTGAGAAATGTTTTGATGTGTATGTATTTTCGTGTAACATGCATGTTCTGGTTAACAAGTTACCCTACTTTAATCAGTTTCGTAATTGACTAATTAAATTGTATAATACGATATTCTTTGACATAGTTAAAATGCAAGTGCAATTTCAATTCATCAAACACACGTCAGTAATACAGTATCTGCGCAAAGGCTTATTATCCTGTATTTAATTAGACTTGCAGAACATGTTTTATGTAGAATTCCTGTGGCTGCTTTTATCGCTCTGATTCTACATTCTAATACAACTGCGTTGCAGTAAATATAATGCACTTATTATTCATTGTGGTTTTACCAGTAACGAACTGGTCTGGTGTTCGTACAGATTTATGAAAATCTGTTTCTGTGCAAGGTCTTCACAATTAATTAGCCTGTCAAATACCAATACATCCGGATAATTAGATTATAATTACGTATCAGCAGTCATAGTGTGTCATGGAAACGTACTTCTGTTCCATGCACATGCCGTTGTATTTTAAATAGAAAGTCATGTCACTATATAGGTATGTATAAAAGAATTATTGCACCGATTTATATCGAGACTTTCAGGATTATGAAGTTATTAGTGTCGTCTGAATAGAATGGTTAATTAAATTTGTTTGATCTTAGTGACTTAACACGTGACTACATAAGAATAAGGAAAACGGAGAAGACAATCTCAGTGGAAGAATATAAGCAATAAATATACTAAGTTTTATAGATATTTTTACCACTGTGGAATACTTAGAATCCAGTAGAATAATTAACACGTTCTGACCACTTAACCTATTCGCCATCAGGTGGAAACAAAATATCGTATTTCTGGTTGCTACAAGTCATAATAATTTTTTAAGTGTTTTCAAAGAGGATTGTTCCAGTCAGATGAATTTGCACGATATGTAAGCCATATGCAACATAGTCAAGAATGCTTGGGTTTGTTATTGTGTAAATTAGTTAATATAAAAACAGTTTCTAGCGTTGTCAAGTGAATAATGTTTAAATATGTACTAATTTTTTTACACGTTCTTATTTAAAACATGAAAGGATGATCATGATATTAGGAATCATTTATTTAAGAACAAGAACGTTTATCAAAGGCGGTGTCAGTCTGGTGGGAAGTGGTTTCTGTAAAATAAGAAATTCTTTCTCTAATTTTTTGGACACCAAATGAGAGAGAAAGGACCTATATCAGACTAACATTTTAAGTTTTTACGGAAATACGTGCATGATTTTCTGACGTTTTATGGTGGTTTCTGACGGCGTATTGTAATGTCAAAGTCGTAAAGCATTCGGAAACTGTAACTACTGTTGTTTAATTTTGTGGTGTATAGTTTATTTTCTGGATACAGGCAAACATATTCTTGAACACGTAGATTTAAATTTTTATATGAGAAAATCTAATATAACATTTTCTTTTTAGGTTCCTTAACTGCTGTACATCGTAGTAATTCGGAATAATTTAAGATGAAAAGGATTCTAGTGACTTCCCTGCTCCAAGGCTCTATTTTATTTTACGCAAATTAGTGCCCGGGACGTGACAATGTGTTAGTTTTGGATGTACATGTTTAACGTGTTCGAAGAAGTGAGATCGTGTCGCGTCGTGAGAGTGAAAGTGGAGACGGAGGCTGTTTAGAGATGAAATATGGATAAGATTCAAGAAAACAAAAACATAGATTGTCGTATTAAATGTGGTAGATAATAACAGGTGACGCAGTGGAACAAGTAGACCCAGGACCGAATGTTAAAACGTGAAGTAAAAATCAAGCGAATGTCTGCGGCTTGGCAAAAGTGGACAGGAAGTGATTTGTGAATTGGACGATGAGCGAGATGCAGCGCCCGACATTTGTCTTACTGGCGTCGATTCTTATCTTCGGCGTTTCTTGGGCGGCACAAGGTAAGACAGCATTTCTAATTATTATTTTAACTTGCTAGTGAACAGAAAGTAAGAATACCAACAACATAACCTACGTAATGGATCAGTTCTTATTGATAATCCTTGTTTAAAATCACTATCAGAGGCCAGGCAGTGTAAAACATAAATATATTTCTTCGACATAAGGTTTATTCATTGAATTTTTGGGACGTATTTCCTTATCAACAAAACAAACTAGCTAATTTTTATATATCGTATGTACTTTCCAAAAATTTAACAGAGTTACATTAACATACATTCTGAGCTTTGATTTCTTTCTTGTCTACTATTACAGCAGTAAATAGGTTGTTGGCAGAAGATTGTAGATTCAGAAAGACTAAATTTTGTATTGCAAGATACCAAATAATGCAATGTATGACCTACAATATGCGTTGAAACATATATGCTGGTTAGTGATGATTTTTAAAATTAAATAAATTTACCATTCTACTGTATAAATATTCACTGTATGCTATTTTCCCACCATTAGTCACGGGTAATTTCATATTTCTCTCACAATAAACATAATAATTATCATACAAAATCTAATGTAGAATATGAATGAATTACTGTGCTCAAAATAAGCAAATCACTAAAAATTCAGAATATGAGGCTCGTAATATAGCTGTATTGTAAAAATTGGCAAAGTTGATCTAAGACCTGACACGCCGTGGAGTATCAAATGTTCAGGATATTGAAGCTCTAATTATCATACTGCATTATACTTGCTGTTTTAAATTTGAAGAATCTATATAAACATTCAAAATGTGAGCGAAAATTTTAATATCTCAATTCATTTTCCAAAATGTGAAACTAATTCTGGTCTTCGCCAGCACACAGCGGATGTAAATAGTAACAACTTCGGAAACCAACTATCTCTGTCCAATTGCTTTCGTTTAATAACAGATTAGTATTGTACACGCCAGTTCTTTCCTGAAAAAATGTAATGAGAGAAAATATCGCTGCATTCGGCTTTAATCTACTAAAAGCAAGGAACAAGATGAAAACTGTAAGTGATGGATATATAAATGTTTTGATACATCTTTTATGTCTTTTTTTAACAGAATATTCATAACTTGTTTTTGTTGCTCTATTTTCGAATGCAACACGAAAGGCTAGTGAACACTACTCATATTTATATTTAGTGCTCAGTCAGATTAATAAAAAGCAATCCAAGCGTAAATATAATTATTCTTTGTGTACCCTTAAAGGCTTAAAATATAATTTCGATTCTTTAAACAGCTACAAGCGATACCTTTATACAAAGAATACCATGCATAAAACGCTCTTCTCTGTAAAGTAATTTGGCTCGTTTATTTGCTTTATCACTACAACTTGCCAGTCAATTTTGAATGCACAGGCTATTTCACCTTAACACAGTTGCGTGTCATCCTTAATAGAAAGTAACAATATTTCTTTCCGAATGGACTAGTCTTCTTCCGTCTTAAGGTTTCGTATCATTTTCAAAGAACGTTTCTTCTAGAATTAAAATATCATTTTTAATGATCATGATATTGAGAAAGGAAATATGTAGTAAAGAACAGTACCAATTAGAGAGAAAATAAATATAGACTTTTCCTGCAGTATTTTACATAATTTTCGTCTGTATTTCTTTTCACGTCACTTCCTTGGTTCTTGTAGCAGTATGTCTGTACTTCATATTTACTTTGGAAGTCCCTGTATGAATTCCGCCGACAGAGTAATTTTTTTTAGTCAACTTTGAATTGTCCATAATATCCTGGTCTTAAAAATGTTAACGAAGAAGGAAAGATGATTTTCTTTTTGTAATTCAATTTCAGTACTTATTTCGACTGCCATATTCCTGTTATGTACCGTACATTGCTGCAAACAGTCTACCAATTAATATTTTGTTTGTTAATTTAAAACTTGTTGAATGTGTTTAGTTTTGTTTGGGGTCATTCAATTCCGGTTTGTTGCTCTGTTTAAACTTATTTTTGTACATAAATTCTTTGGAGGAACATTTTGCCTCCACCTTCACGGTTGAATTGAGGATTATAACACTGGTGGATTTTATAGGGTGGAGGATCGAGCCTGGAAGGACAGGAAGTTTGACAATGTGAGAGGAAGGGGAGATGGAACCCAGTCTGGACCAATGGGAGTTAATTTTAAGAATTTTTTGTATATTTATATACGCCCATATGTCTAAGTTTTTAACATACGTGATTAAATAAACAGGTATATTACATAGCGTTTATGTTAACCGATAATATCTTGAATGTGAAATTAATATCGATAACGTAGGCCAAAACTTCGAAATTCTTACGTTAATTAATATACTACAGTAAAAGTGGAATGAGAATTCTTAAACTTATTCAGGAATAAAGTCACTACAGGCAGGGATTCTGAGTAACGAACATACAAATGGCAGCTTAAGTGAGACAAGTTGTGACGTTATGCTGGTTTTCGCTCTCTCACCTGCAAAAATGCGGCGATTTCGTGAAAAAATGGTCCGATACTAAAAACTACAGAGTATTTCTAAGAGTCACTCTTTTGCGTAGGCAAGCGGAATGTCGAAACGCAATGGCAGATGTTATTGCTTAATCACGTACGTAAACGCCGAAATATCTGTAAGGACACGGCCAACAGCTGCCAAGTTCCTTTCTACGTGACGAGACTCGGATAAATATTTTTGATTTTCGAACAGATAATTGTGCAGCAGGATAATATTTTAAAGAATTCGTAAGTCATGGTTAGTGTGGCTAAAACAGTCTATTCGTTCTTGTTGTCAATAGAACTGGTTTAAAATAAATTTGTAATAAGTTTTGCATTGAACATGAGGATGGACGTAATATGCAGGTCTTGCTTTTAGACTTAGCGTAACAGCTGTGATGTCAGC